AAACCTATAGGATGGGGAGATGATGACATAAAGGGGGAGGATATAGATGTAAACATGGTGGATATGGAGAGGCCTCGTTCTGAAGTGGAGGAGATGGAGAGATACTTAGAAAAGGAAAAATACAAAATGGAGGATAATTATGCTGGGGATGCCAGTCTTAAAGATTACCTCATGTTGTGCCACAAAGGAGATGCGAAAATGATACTATGCCCTAGGTGCAGCATCATCTGCAACCAGAGAATTGCTGCAAACTTCGAGAGGATACAAAGGGCACGAACTGGCGTCAACTGGCGCCAGGATAACCAGTTATTCAGGTGTTATCCCAAAGCTGGAGAAAGTTTGTTGGAGTTCTTGGTTCGCTGTTACAAAGGAGCAACAAAATGCCTAGTATGCCCAAGGTGTTATGTTGTGTATGATCAAAGTATGGCCAGAGCCTTTGAAACAATCCCTTTCGCCCCATGCTGGAACCACCAAGAGACGGGTCAGATGGGCCAACGTTTCGATAGCAAATACACTCAACGAAGGCCTGATAGTCCTCATCCCAAAGGCGCTCGAAGGGTGACGTTCAAAATTCCTGCTGAAATACCAACAGACAAGTGGCTGCAAGTCAGAATTGACAAGGGCAAAGACAAATGGAGAAACAATGAACGAAACGCACGCCACGCTATGACATATATAAGGCAGTTCAACATAGCGAAGAGGGAAGAAGTGAGGTTAGAGAACTACAAAGGAAGAAACCCCATGTCAAGATCTCAATGGCGAAGGCAACAGAGATATCGAAAGGCTGAAAGGGAAGCTATGGCAAATAAAGGAGCAACTTCGATAAAAAAACCAAGGTGAATCAAGCACCAACAAACCCACGCAAAATAATCAAACTAAGGACAAACCCCCAGTTAGTAGGAGACTCTTCTCTGAAGCACAACCAACTGAATCGAAGGAATACACACCATGTCCAGAAGAAGACGAGGATATGCTAACGGATAACTTCGAATCAGAGGACCTTGCAATTTCAAAACCTAAAAAGAACCCCAATTGACCAAGATCCTTGATCTTGAATTCTTTGTCAAGAACATTTTTAACAAACTGAATTTCCTGTAGAGAGTTCCCAGCTAGGACTATGTCATCAACATAGACAAGTAAAGCAGTGAAATTGTGCTCAGTAGACTTGGTATACAAAGAATGACCTGCTTGTGATTGAGAGTACCCCAAGGAAAGAAGAAACACAGAAAGTCTAGAGTACCATTATCTACTAGCCTGCTTTAAACCATATAATGACTTTTGTAGCTTGCAAACCTGAGTAGAACTGGAAACAGAGAGACCAGGTAGAACTGACATATATACCTCCTCATTCAAGTCACCATGCAAGAATGCAATGTTTACATCCAATTGTTCCAAGTGCCAACCCTTAATGGAAGCAATGGATAACAATACTCTGACAGTGGTGATCTTAGCAACTGGAGAGAATGTGTCAAAATAGTCAACTCTTTCAAGTTGAGTATATCCCTTGGCAACAAGCCTAGCCTTATACCTCTCTATAGACCCATCGACTTTGTATTTTATTCTGTAAACCCATCTACAACCAATGGGAACCTTTCCATGAGGCAAATCTATTACAGTCCAAGTGTGATTCTTAGCAAGAGCCTTCAACTCATCATCCATGGCATTCTTCTAACAGTCCTGCTTAATTACTTGAGCATATGTTTTGGGTTCAATATTGGTAGAAATAGAAAAACAATAGTTTTTGTAAGCAGGAGAACAATGTTTATAAGAGAGAATAGAAGAAAGAGGATATGTAATTTTAGAGGAAGAAGGACTAGAATGAGATGTAAGAGTGGAATAACAGTGATAATTAGATAAGTAGCTAGGGGGATTGGAAGTTCTACTGGACTGCCTTATAGGAGGAATAGGAGTAGGGAAGTCTATGGACTGATTAGACAACTCAGGAGAAGAGACATGAGGATTCTGATTTTGGTCAGAAGGCATAGGAAAAGATGTGGCACTAGAAGGACTAGATGTACTAGAAGGACTGTGAGGGGATGTAACAGCAGAGGGACTAAAAGATAAAGGAGATCTAGGATTATAGGGAGATTGAGGAGTACCACTGCTGTCAGGAGAAGTACTAGGAACAGATGGTGAAGTCAAATCAGTGCTGCTATGGTCAATAGCATTGTTAAATGGTGATGGCATGTCAAGAAAGTCATTATGGACAGAAGAAGGAATAGAGGAAGGAGAGGATGACACAGAAGAAAGTTTGAATGGAAAAACATCTTCATAAAAGATGACATTTCTAGACACAGAAATAGCATGACTATGAAGATTGTAAACTATGTACCCCTTGGTACCATCCCTAAAACCAAGAAAGATAGCTTTGTGAGCCCTAGGATCAAATTTGGTCCTATGTGCTTGCAAAGTAGAAACAAAACATAGACAGCCAAACACCTTTAAGTGTATGATGGAAGGTGGTTGTTTAAACAAAATTTCATAGGGAGATTTTGATTTTAAAAGGGGTGTGGGTAGTCTATTTATAAGGTGAACATCATGTTGTACACAGAAGTTCCAGAGAGATATGGGGACATTGGAATGAAAATATAAGGCTCTAGCAACATTTAGAATATGTTGGTGTTTTCTCTCAACTACACCATTCTGTTGAGGAGTCTCAACACAAGATTTTTGATGAACAATTCCCTTAGATAAAAGAAAATCAGCAATGGTAAGGAATTCTGTACCATTGTCAGACCTAAGGCACTTAAGAGATGTTTTAAACTGAGTTTCAATGAGAGCTACAAATTGAATGAGGCTAGCCCTAGTTTAATCTTTAGTGCTGAGGAAAATGACCCATGTAAACCTTGTATAATCATCTACTAATGTTAAAAAATATTTGTGACCAAGAGTAGATACAGTGGAGAATGGCCCCCATAAATCAGCATGCAAAATATCAAAAGGGGCACATGAAACAGAAGTACTAATAGGAAAAGAAAGCTTCTTTTGCTTTGCAAAGTGACATGAGTCACAAGGATCCAATTTGGAATTACAATTAATGAAAGGAAAAACTTTAGAAATTTCCTGTAATTCTAAGTAAGGCACATGACCTAATCTTAAGTGCCATGTATTACAAGAAGTATTATTGACAAAAGAAAAAACAGAATTAGGTCTTGTAAGCTCAAGAGTATAGAGTCCCCTTTGCACATTAGCTATACCAATCATTGCCTTGGAATAATTCTGCATAATGTGACAAGAATTAGCATGGAATTAAACAAAGCAATTATTGCTATCAACAAGCTTGGCAATAGAGACAAGATTAACATGAAAACTAGGGATAAACAAGACATGATGCAGAGTTAGGGAGGGAGAAAGAACAACAGTACCGGCTATGGAAGCAACTACTTGAGATCCATTAGGTAAATTTACAGGAATAGGGACAATATTTTTATGATCAAGAAATAGGCTAATGTCAAAGCAAATATGGTCAGTAGCACCAGTATCAAGGATCCAAATGTTAGGATTCTTACCATTAGAGCCTGACTGAAAATTCAAGGCAAGAGGAGAAGTTGAGATGGAATTGGTATGGGAATTAAGCTGTGACTGTTGTAATAGGGCCATGATGTGAGTGTATTGCTCTTGAGTAAGGGCACAAGAGGATGCGGGGGAAGAATCTGTAGATTGGTTCTCAGAGGCAGTATTGGCCATGGCAGTTGGCTGAGAAGTATTAGAAGAACCTGGAACCTTGCTTTTGCCTCTATATCCAGGTGGAAATCCATGCTTTAGAAAACAAGTTTCTATGGTATGGTTGGTCCTATTACAGTGAGTACAAACCCTAGCATGACCTTTAGGACTAGTCCCTTCAGATTTCCATTTAAAGTTACCATAGCCAGGTTTACTATTGTGATTACTCTGAGCTTGAACATTCAAAGCTGTGGCCTCATCAGTGTTACCAGTAGGGGACAAAATATTAGAGACAGAGCTATTCATCTCTCTTTCTTGTTGAATGACAAGAGAAAATGCCTTATCAATATTAGGCAACGGGTTCAGCATCATAATCTGAGACTTTGAATGCGTGAATTTGTCATTCAAACCTTTCAAAAATCGAAGCACATAGTCTTGTTCCCTATAATGCTGAACAGAAGCAATAGCATCGCAAGAACATGGAATAGCACAGGTACAAACATGTATGGGGCGATAATTCTCAAGTTCATCCCATAAAACCTTCATCTGAGTAAAGTAATTAGAAACGTCGAGCGTACCTTGACGAAATTTGTACAATTCCTCCTGGATGTCTGAAATACGAAAGATATCACCATGAGAAAACCTAACTTGCAAGTTCCTCCAAACACCAGCATCATTGTCGATCCATAACACCGACTTCGCAATTGACTCGGAAATAGAGCGTTGGATCCAAGCAAGAACCATAGTGTTACACCGAATCCAAGGAGCATAGAGTGGATCAGATAGAGGTGGTTTAGGGAGGGATCCGTCAATGAACCGGTCTTTGTTCTTGGATATCAACGCGATCTGCATTGATCGAGCCCAAACATGATAGTTCTTGACATCGAGTGGAGGCGAAACAAGCACCAGTGCTGGATTTTCATTCGGATGTAAGTAGAAAGGATTTGTGGAATTTGTAGAAAAATCTACATAGCTCTGGTAAGCCATTGAAACAGAAGAAGAAGCTCAAGAAAATGCACGAGCAAAAGAGAAAGAAAGCAAGCGTCGCTCAGAGAAGGATGGCTACCAGAGCTTGATTAGCTCTGATACCATATCAAGAATGGTGAAAAACTCCATTGGAGGAAAAACAGAAGCTACAGAATTCTAACTGTATTCTAACAGAAAATGATAAGGCAAGGAAAGAGTAAAGTTATCACTGTTGCATTGAATGAATGAATTAAATCTGTACAAGTGGCCATTATATAATATATGCATAAGCCTAGATTAAACGACAGCCATTGGATCAAGATAATAACAAAATAGAAAACTTAATGATCTATTCTATTATCTAATATAAGCTAAGACCACGCTTCACCACACGCGCCACTCAAAACATAAACAATTTGCGCCACCACAATAAACCACCAAGAAGAATTAAGCACCACCGCAGCCCCAACAAGCCCCCACCCCAAATGCAACATAAGAAACCAACTCAAAAACGTATGTCCCACCAACGCCACCGCAGAAATCCATGCCATAGCCATTATCCTACTTTGCGCCTGCAAAAAGTTTTGTACTGGAAAGCTCATCGCGTAAGCGAAGAGCTGAGGAATCATCCATATTGTGAAAACTCCTGTAGCCTCTGATATCGCTGTTGTTTGGCCTATAAGTTTTAAAAGAGGCTCAACAAAAATGTAGAGAAGACTTAAAATAATCGCGGTGGCGTTTAAAATTAACCACGATCTTTGCATGTATATTCCTAACATATCAAGTTTTCCAGCTCCAAAAGCTTGTCCACATAGCGTCTCTAACGCGCTTCCCATCCCTAACTGAAAAATAACTGAATTCAGTTCCTCCTCCACATTTTAATATATTAAAAAAATAGAAATAAGACAAAAATGGCAACAAAAAAAAGATTAAAGTAAGATAGTCAATTTGTTTGGTACTGGTTTTGGATTTGAACGGAAACTGACAAATTGTCTCAATCGACAAACTGTTCAACTTTTAAAAGATTGATTTCATCTTTGAACAAATTGTCATCACATGTAAACAGAATAAATAAAATAAACGAAGCTAAAAATATGAAATAAAAAAATACGAATTAGATTCGGTGTTACCGTGATGACTAAGCAGAAACCGTCGATGACGGAGTTTTCAATAGAGACGGCGGCGAGTTGGAGAGTACCGACTTGACCGGCGAAGACTTGAGTAACAGCGCCGAGGGAGTATTGAGAGATGAAGGTGAAGATCGCCGGGCCGACAAGGTACCAGAGTTTCTTTGACTCAATGAGGAAGCCTCTGGCGAAGGTTCTGGCATCGGTGATCGGAGGAATGTCATCAGATTTGGCGGTGAAAACTGCAGTAGTGTTGGTTTGATCTTGTGAGTTGTTCAACGGTGTGAGGAGTGGGTGCGCGTGTCTATCACTCTCCATATGATGGACTGAAGAGCAACGATTTTTCTGGTTAATACTAAAAAATTCTCGTTCTCATAAATATATAATCGATCCGTTTATATTTATAAACAAAATGAATATAAATTTATTTTATTATACTAACAAAATTTTTAATACAAGTAAGACAATACAATGAATACATATATTTAGGGACTGAAGGCGTAGCAGGTATAGGAATAAAGAGCGCAATTTGTGAAGTAAATGTAGTCCTACAGTCCTACTGATTACACGTTCCCTCGTTTGATGCATGCAGCATGCATTCTTTTTAATTCATTTTTGTGGTTCAGAATCTATCACAACTTATGTTAAACAAATAAAAAAAGTTATTTGTGGTTTACTCTATTTTATCTAGCTAATGGAAATTGTTTATTTTTTATTTTTTATCGTATATGACTAGAATGAATCGTCGATGATACGCAAGTTAAATCTGAATAGCTGTTGAAGTGAAATAGAGGATACCTGCAAAACACTCCAATTTCAAAGTAAGATTCAGAGCAAGTGCAAGTAATGAAAGTATAGAAAAAGTGAATACCCGACCCTCACATGTGAGAGGATATTTATAACCTCAGCACTGGACCAAGATGTATGTATTGGACCAAGCAATTAGGCCCAATAACGTAGACTGTCAAGGTTACGTGTGTATGGAGTCCAGCACGTGGCCTCCTTCTTGGTCAACTGCCCCGAGATAATAGGAAAGTTGGACCCTTTATTCTTGGTGGGCAGAATGGTGGTGGTTGTGGACAGTTGTTGGTCACGTTTGCCTAAGAGGCACGTGGGGAAATCCCCAACGAGTGTAAACGTGGGATGGATGCCATTAGGCCTCAGAGGCGCTGGATTGAGTCTGTTCAACGGTGGGCCAAGTGTCAGCCCAACCCTGAATAGGAGCCCCCAAGTTATTGCTCTTAGACGAAAGAGTGATGACTTAAGATCAACTTGGCTCACTAGTGCAGGAACTACATTTTACATCGGGCCTAAAGTATCTTTTACATCGGGTCTGGGTCCGATGTAAATTCAAGCGATGTAGTAAATTAAAGATATTTTACATCGGACAACAACCCGATGTGAAGAATCTACCTACTACATCGATTGGATATTAGGTCTGATGTAAAAAAAATACAATTTAAAAAATAAAATAAAGCAAGATTTTACATCGGTCGCTTAGTTAGACCGATGTAATAAATTGTTTTTAACATCGGTTTTATCAATAGGCCCAATGTAATATATTTTTCTTATTTGACTGAATCATGTGGATTCCCGAAATTTATTTTTTGTACCTAATTTTTCATATTTTTCCAACATCATAAGACCACATTTAGGTCACTTTTTTTCATATTTTTACCACATCACACATACCACATTAAGATCGCTAATTTCATGTTTTTCTAACCAGTGAAGGGTAATTTCATTATACTAAATAGCTAGGATGCACATATATATATTATTCAAAATGAATAATTGAGTTATAAAAGTACTAATTTAGGTTACACACAAGTGTATAAAATTATAAGGAAGTTTACACACAGTGGATTACTACAACAACAAAACAAATGAAATTATACAAAAATATCCACACTTGAAATACCAACATGCAATCCACAAGAAGATGAGTTGTAGCTTCAGTAGACAACAACAAAATCACATCTACTAAAAATAAATAATAACACTAATTAATATCAGCAGACAACACCAAAATCAAAAAACTTAAATCAGATATGTATAGACAATTCTATATAACTCATCAAATAAAGCTTAATTTTTATATATCTCAAAGAAATATTTTTCCCAACAGAGTCACAAATCATACAAATCATCTTGTGTTAATTTTGTTGGGTCATCAAATATCTACAATACGTAAATATCAATATAGAGTTATTCTTTAAAAATTTACATTAAGTTGCAAAATGCAAAGTAAATAAAAAAGTAAAGTTTTTGTTATTACTTGCATTCAAGAATCGGTTATATTGGCAGAGACAATATTCAACATATTTTTCATCACATAGTATCCACAATCATTAGAGTTATGTTGCCGCCTTGTCTAGATAAATGAATGACATAATTAATGAATACTTATCATAAAATTAAATATAAAATTAAAATATACATCACACTTACATTAGGATGAAGCCATGTAGCCTTTTTTTTCTATTTCCATTTGTCATTTGATGAATCGCAAAAGCACTAATTCAAAGGAAAAAAAATTCATATAAAGCCACATAAAATATGAAATTACTTTTGTAACAATTTATGTATACATGATATATAATATATTATAACAAAAGTCACAAAGGACAAACTTACCTTGTAGGGTTACTAGATGAAGAAGGATTGTCGGTTGAATCACCCATGTATCTGTTTACACAAAATAAAAACAATTAGAAATCAAATTAAGCATAAAATAAAAATATTTAGATATCAAATTAAGCACAAAATAACAACATTTGGACATCAAATTAAGATCAAAACAAAAACAATTAGAAATCGAAGTAATGTAGAATTAACTTATAAAAAAACCGTACTAGTCCAGCTCTAAATCAAAGCACATATTTCAATCTCAAGGTAAGTCTTCTTGACTTTAAACTCTTCATTTCAAGCATCATTAGTGATTCATTTTTGAAGATAAAATATAGTAACCATTGCCCTTGAATCTAACCCTTTGTTTGTCTTCCATTATATGTTAAGAACTGACTTGTACAGGCCATAAAACAATGTTGGAGTGAAAAAATTATAGTATGAGTCGACACATACCTATATGAGTCGATACATCTTAGTGAAAAAATAGGTTATGAGTCAACACAAAGCCTTTATGTGTCGACACATACTATTATACGGGGACAAAACAGGAGGAGTAAAGAGCGTATGAGTCGACACAAAGCACATATGAGTCGACACATGCAGGGAATGAGTCGACACATACCCTTATGCATCGACTCATACTGAATTGATTTGGACTTACAAGAGCAAGACAAGCTTATGTGTCGATGCAAAGGAGTATGTGTCGACACATAATATTCAAAAATGCATTTTCCATTCTTTTACACAGTTTTATCTATTTTTCATATATTTTCTTCATTACTATTCAATATGGTTGTAATATTTAAGCTCATATTCATCCTCATTTGTAAATTGTACCCCTATCCCCCTAAATGGTATAATAGCGTAGGACTTTATTTTCCACAATTTATGACTTTCAAATATAAATGCTTGTAACTAGAGTGTGTATGGCAAGATTAAAATCAATGCTTAGAAAGCCTTAATCTCATGACAATAAATGAATGCAATCAAACACAGTTGCACACTTGCACCTCTAGGTTTAACTCCACTTGTTTCCTTGAGAAAGTGGTCATATTATGCATGTGAGACGCTTTAGCAAAGACCCTCGATAAAAAAGATTGTAGTCCCCACGATGACCCTTCGATGTTGCCTTCAATAAAACGATCTTAGCCCTTACAAAAATTGCTAAAGCGTCTCATAAGTTGCTTTCAATGACTATAGAACAAACCACTCCCGTCCCTTCACATTCGAAGATAAGGTTTCTTACCAATCAAGTGTTAGATAGCAATGTCAAAGAAAAAGAGAGATGAACAAAAGACTTTTGAGTAGGTAGAACGTTTTTAGTTGCTTGCTCACATCCATCTTCAAAACATTTTTCAAAATACACCATCACTTTCAAATGAAATATTTTCAAAAGTCAACACTTTGTATGCATTCTTATAGAGACGAGAATCATTACAAAGTTCGCCTAAGCAAAGGAAATTTCAAAAACACTTTCAAAAACATGAAATATTTTCAAAAGTCAAACACTTTGTATACATTCTTATAGAGACAAGAATCATTACAAAGTTTATCTAAATGAAGGCGCTTTTAAAAAATACTTTCAAAATCCACCACAAACACATTTCAAACAAAGCAATTTCAAAAGTGATCTAGCAAGCAACTAAGAGCCCATAGATAACTATGGATGAAAAGAGTGCTAACACCTTCCCTTTTCATAACCTACCCCCCAAACTCAAGAAAATATCTCAAAGGTCTTTCCTTTTCTTTTCACCCTTTCCTTTATTGGATAAAAGAAAACTCGGCGGTGAATCTTACTATCCGCAACAATAGCGATAGAACGCAAAACAACCAAGTCAGTTCTCCCACCGTATTACACCTAGTATGTACAACACATTGGAAATTACTGACATTTTGCCATCTTTCCTCAAAATCAAAACATCACCAATACCTTCACCTGCTAGAGTATTATCATTTGCAAATTTAACTATGTTCTTCATCAAGGACTTTTGTTGACAAACCAATATCTCCTTCCAGATATGTGTGATGAGCATCCTGAGTCCAAGTATCACTGGTCCTTGAATCTATCTTCATCTTTAGTTGTGACCATTAGCATCATCTCTTTTTATTCATATTTTTCAAATTTTGCATCACTTTCTTGATTCTTTTGTTTTTCAGAACAATGACAGAGTAATGATCATACTTCTGAAAATTGAAGCATTAAATGTGACTCTTGTCAGGCTTTCGATCAACAGCTTTTCCTCTACCAGCACCACCTCTTTATTGCTTTGATATGGGGGTCTTATTTGATTTGACGCAATTCTTTTCTGCTGGTTTCCTCTACCAGTCAAATTGTTGTAACTTCCTCTACCTCTAGTGTCTAACCACTTTCCTTTGCCTTTCTTTTCTCTTGCTGACTGCGCCTGCAAAGCCACATCACTCTTCAACTTGCTTGTAACTCTTTAAATCATTATTTGTTCATAAGATTCAAGTGTCCCTTGAAGCTCTTCTTTTGTCAATATCGATAAATTCTTCGACTCTTCTAAGACTACCACCGCGTGGTTGAACTTTGGAGTCAATGACATCAAGATCTTTGCAACAATTAATCTTGTTGTCACAACTTCTCCATATACCTTGATTTGATTCACCAGTTTCATAACCCCAGTGAAGAAATCATTTATACTTTCACTTTCTTCCATCTGAAGCAATTCATACGTTCTTTTGTGAGTTTGTGACTCCACCTCTTTCACCTTTTCTGCACCTCCAAAAGACTTTTTCAGAACTTCTCAAGCTTCTTTCACATATTCTACATCACTCACCTTTTCGAAATTGTTTGGACACAGACAATGATGAATTATAAAGAGAGCTTTATAATTCTTCTTCTTCATTTCTTTATGTGATGCCTCTTTTGCTTTTGATACATCTTCTTTAAGCGGATCTAATCCTTCTTTCACAAGATCCTAGAGATCTTGACAATATAACACAACCTTCATCTGATTGCACCAAATCTCATAGTTATCAACTTTCAGAATTGGAAGACTTGTTGAAAAATACTCATTCGAATGATTCATTTTCATTGTAATTTTTTTGCCATGAATCTCTCAACCGGAGCTCTTGATATCAGATGTTGGAAATCCACCAAAATCTATGGAGAATTTCTATCAATCTTGATGAATAAGATTATTATCAATACACAGTAATAATGAAAGAAAGAATTGGGGTTTGACGAAATCGGGGAAGAAGGTGACGATTTTCAACAGAGTTTCTCTTTGCCCACAAACTGGAAAAATCTTATTCACTTTGCAATTACAAAATTCTATGAATACTAGTTATTTACAATATAGGAGTTACTCCCTATTTATAATGGATTTACTTGTTCTCTAAGACAAAACCTACAAATACAAAAAAGACCAAAATAATTATTTAGACCTAAGTCGAAATACTATCTGAAACTAACTGCTTTGACACTTTGACAGATATATTTCGACACACACTAGACTAAGTTCGACATACTCTTGTTCTGTCGAGCAACATACTACTTCAACACACACTTGTTATGTCGAGCAACATACTACTTCGATACAAAAAAAATTATAATGTCAAGAATATACACCATAAAAACAACAAGCAACATGATCCCAATGCACTTTACGATTTTACGAACAAAGGTCACCAAATGAATAAACATATTCCAATATAATATTTGGCCAACACAAAATTTCAAACATTTCCAAACAATAAGCACTTCATAAATAAATGCTGAGATGTTTCAAGAGAACTGCAATCACTAACGCAATGTATATCCACATTAGCTGCTCAAGAATCTGTAAGATTATCTATTATTTTTGTGTAGGATTATCCATATTTTTGCAGAAGTTTCAATTTGTTTGACGATTTTCGCCATTTTCGCTGATGTTCAAATCTTTAAGCCCGCCCCACTTGCTTATCCTTTCTTCTGCAAGTGATGCCTGCCATTTTATAAAACAAAAACTTAGTCTACAATAAATATATTAACATCTTCAAGAACAATATAATTAAATTGGCTCAGTTTTGTTGGCAATATGTAGAACCTTTTACCTCATTATTCCAGTCAGTTCTATAAATCATGTAGAATAAAACAAGAGTTTGTAGAACTGTCCCTGATAACATTCCAGACCAGATTCCCTGGAAATCATGCATCCACCATAGAAGAAAAACAAGTAAAAACGTAATTACAAATGAATCTGGAAATCATGCATCCACCATAGAAGAAAAACAAGTAAAAACGTAATTACAAATGTCGGTGACACTGACACATATTTATTAAGAGGTCGGTGTTACATATAGTGAAAAAAACAAATAATAAGGTAAATATAATTGAAAAGGAAGAAACAAAAGCTTACCAAGACACCAAAGTCAAGAAAGAACCCAAAAAAGAGTCCCAAAGGAATACCAAAAATATAGTAACAAGCAATATTCACATAAGCAACAGAAGCTTGCCACCCAGCACCAATGGCAACTCCTGAAAGAACAGGTTGGATGTTGTTGATGACAATGCACAATGCCAACATTGGTGTTAGCTCAATCACTGCCTTTCTCACTTCTGGATCATTTGAAAACAATATCGGATACTGTTCCCGGAAGATTATCAAAATCAATGAGAGAATAAGAGCAATGAGAAATGAAGAAATCACAGCAACTGTAAGTGAGAATTTTGCTGCTCTTGGATGAGATGCTCCCAATTCATTTGACACTCTCACACTGCATTGTTGTAATTACAATTCAAATTTATGTTTAATCAAACTCATAGTTAGTTCCATTATGAAGATAAAATGAAACAAACCTTACGGCAGCGTTCATTCCAAAGGATGCCATGATAGTCCATCCCAATATGTTTGAGCTGCAAAATCAATATTAAACTCTTATCTTAATGAATTAATGTTAAAATTTCAATAAATAAAATTTATATGTTAAATGTCTGAAAATATTTTTGAACAGGATTATCAATGATGGTGGAGACTTATAAAAATTATATATTTTTAGAATGAAGATATTAAATGTGTCAATATTAATTGGGAATTAAGCATGTTTAAGTCCACCAAAGATGACATTTTTTTTCCTAATATGAGTCTGGTTAGAGTTTTCATATAATTATCTTCTATCTAGTTTTGTTTCACAGTTAGGATGGTGGCTTTGTATTTCAAAAGTTAATTATAAGACTAGTTTATGATATTTGATCATTTCTGGATGGAATATTTCAAGTACAAATAATTTCTACAAAGTTGCAAAGGTAATGGATTATGGTACGGCTAAATCGATGCATTTTAAAATGTGACAATTCATTCGGTGTATTTTAGAATAATTAAACAATTTTTTTTGAATGTATTAAATTCTATACAATTCAATAAATATATAATATATTTATTCTTTTAGAATAATATGGCAAGTGTGAGTAAGCGGGAAAATAGTCTCATATTAGATAGTGATTACAACATCACTGTTTAATCATATAAACACATTAATTATACTACAAAAAATTTACCATAAAAATGAAAAGCTATTATTCCCTGAATGCCAATTTATAAGTAAAAATACTTATTTTTAATCAAATTATAAGCCTAAAAATTTCAATTAATTATATTCAAAAAATATATAAATACAATTTCGTCTATTTCATTTTTTCCAAAACTAATTAAATTTATTTTTACATTTTCTTATAAAACTTATTTCAAAAATACACAAAAAAAAAAGGTCTGCATTCAAATTGTTTTATTTTATTAGTATAATTTTATTTATTTTTACTTAGTCGAAGGGAGTAGTACAATACTATACTATTCTGGCTTAATTTATAAAAAAAAATAATTGTCACGTTTATTAAGAAGAAAAATTAAATATAATTAATATTTTATTCCATATAATAGAAATAGCATAATTACTGTTCTGTATTGGGCTGGGCTGGCCCAAGAGCAACGATAAAGGCCCAATCCAAACAGACTTGCTAGGGGTCACGCCGACCTAAGGACCATAGTTATGTCCGACATACATCACTGGGCGATATCTCCGTCCTCGTGCTATCCAGCTCGACCTCAGCTCGAGCACTCCTTCAGCAGCGGACACGGTCCACTGCGCTCTCAACGGGATCCCGAAAAGACCGCGTCCTTGTCCGCCCGCACTTCACGCGAGACATCCAGGAAGGGGACCACGTGCGGGTCCCCACTACGCACGTAGAACCTGGCAGTTCCTCCATTGGGCCAAACCTGCCCGGCCCAATGAAGGAACCTTGGCCCAGCGCTGGGGGCTATAAATACCATCTGTTTCCAGAGGGTCAGGTATTCATTCTATCCCATATACTCACATTTTGCCTGCTCGCGCTCTTACTTACTTCAACATCGGAGTGCCTTGCAGGTACCCCCCCCCCCCCACCTCGTTCAAAACTTCAGCTCGGAGCCAGCCGTGACGGTCTAAGTCTGATCAGGTTAGATCAGTGGCGCCGTCTGTGGGAACTAGCTTCCCCGTCTTACAAAACTCAAAGACCAAAGCTCAAATTCAACTACCGCTGTCATGGCTGATCAAGCTCGCGATGAGCAGAACGTCCGTGTCGTCGACACTAATAACGGCACCGCGGACAAAAACGGACACCTTGATAATGCCGGCAACCCCGACCACAACACCATTCCTGCGACAACCGCCCCCGGAACTTCCATCTACAGGGACGGAGCTACTGCATCATCTTCCTCGGTCCCTCCACCACTCGAAGACGACCCGGCGGCCCTCGCACACTACAGAGCTGCTCGGTTCCAGGAAGTCCCCGTCCCCGCCGGGGCGGATGCCACAACTCAAGCGCTGTTCACAGCGATTAATCAAACGAACTATCTCATCTTCTCCCAAGGAGAGAGACTGAGGGCGCTTGAAGACGAGCGAAGACCCCCGAGGAGGCATCGGAGACCCCATACTCCCCCTCCTCGAGTGACTGAAGCTCGACATCCATCTCCCCCGCGGAGACATTATAGGGAGACCTCTCGAAGCCAATCTCCCCGGCCAAAAGAGAAACGGCCCCATCTGGAGAGGCCCCCCATCATTCAAGCCGGAGAACCTAGTCGTGACCCGGCGAGACTGGAAAGAAGGCACTCCGGAGATGGGCGTGTGAAATTCAACCACCGAGCATCCCGCTCGAGAGAGACTCAGCACGACCTGGACCGTCGTGCCAGACAATATTACAGGTCCCCATCTCTGTCTCCGGAGAGAAGCGATGAGGACGACCCCCGCGGTCCCCTGTCACAGGCTATTATGGAAGCACCCATCCCCCCGGGCATGGAGAAGCCCCCTCACTTGAAGGAGTACGATGGAGTCGCGGACCCGGTCGACCATATAGACGGGTTCGAGGCTATGCTTCATTATCACAATGTCGGGGGCCCCATCAAGTGCCGTCTATTCCCCATGACTCTCAGGAAGGCGGCAATGGACTGGTACAAAGGACTCGCCCCGGGCTCAATCACCTCGTGGCAGAACCTGAAGAACCAGTTCATCAGTTCCTTCACAGCTTCTCGGCAGCACCCGAAGACCGAGGCGGCTCTCGAGGCCATCATCCAAAGACAGGATGAAACCTTGAGGGAATTCATCAACCGCTTCAATCGGGAAGCAATACAGGTCCCCTGTGCGGACCATATGAAGAGATATTGGCTGGAGAGAGGGCTCCTCCCCGGCACGGAATTCAGAAAGGTCGTGGCTATCGAGCCACCTCGGACATTCGATGCCCTCCTCGAAAAAGCTCGGGCATATATGGACTACGAGGAGAGGGAAGCGGCCAACAGGGCCCGAGATCCCAGGACTCGTGGTCCCAGCAGCAACTCCCGCCAAGAAGCCCCTCCTCGATGAACCGGGGAGAAAAGGAAGGAAGACAGACCCCGGGAGGTCCGGGAACAAAGAGGACCTTCGGGGAGGTTCACCGAGTACACTCCGCTCACAGCTTCCCGCGAGCGCATTCTGGCGGAGTGTGCCAGCACTGATTTCAAGGACGGTGGTGTCAAACGTCCCCGACCTGCTCCCACCAAGCCCGGAGCAGACAAGAACAAATATTGTCAGTACCATAAGAGCCATGGTCATCTGACTGAGGATTGCGTCCACCTCAAGGACGCCATCGAAACCCTCATCAAGGGAGGGAGGCTCGCGCAATATCGGCAGAACGATGCTCCCCGTCGTGACGCCCAAGAAACTAGAGAGCCGGAGGAGGATGTCCGACCATCTGACGAGTCGGTCCCTATCCAAACTGCCTTCTCCGTGACCAGGCCCGAGGACTTCGACTTCCCCGAGCACCTGTAGGAGCCGCTCACAACGCACAGCAGGTGGGAATATTTCCCCTCTGCCCTGGTCATCAACGGCGGCAGGTTCAACGACTTGACCATCAATTCAGCCAAGAGGAAGCTGGACGAGCTGGTCGACGCGGCTCCCCCGCAAACAATGACGTTCGAAAGGGTGAAGGGCAGGTCAGAGCCCATCACCTTCTACCTAGAAGAGCTCCCCGGCGGAGCCCCGAACGCGGTCATCCCCTTACTGATAAGGGCAAGAATGGCCAATTTCGATGTACATCGCATCCTGGTCGACGAATGGAGCTCCGTCGACGTCATGTACAGCTATCTGTTCCGAACCCTACAGCTGGACGACTCACATCTATGCAGGGTCGGACTTACAAGGTTTCAACGGCTCAACCTCTAAACCTTGGGGCTATGTCGAGCTCCTGGTTACATTCGGCGAAGGGACGGCTACAAGACAAATCAAAGTACGCTTCCTAGTCATCGACTTCCCGTCTCTGTACAACTGCATCTTGGGGAGACCGACACTGGCAGAGCTGACAGCGGTACCCTCGACCGTCCACCTGAAGATGAAGTTCTACACCAAGAGGCACGAGTAGCTACTATCCAAGGAGACCTAGCTGCTGCCCGCAGGTGCTTCAACGCTGCTTCTAAGGGACGTGATACTGTCGAAGTAGGGACCAGACCCGCCAAAAGGACAAGACAGGAGCCCGACAAGAAAGCATCCCCCGGGGAAGAAGTCCAGAAAGCTCCACCAAAAGTCGATTCCATAGCTCTGGACACTCGCTTCGACCAGGAAGAGCCATCCAGCAGCGAGCAAATCCCACTCCGACCAATACCGGACGGGGATTTTGAACTCGTCCCCCTCGGCACGGATCCGACCAAGGGAGTGAAGATTGGCAAAGACCTCCCCGACTTGGCCAGGAAGCAAATCAAGGCCTGCTTGCGCGAGAATGCTGATTTGTTCGCCTGGAGCGCCGCAGAGATGCCCGGACTCGACCCTGAGGTCGCCTGTCACCACCTCGCCATTGATCCAGCTGCTAGGGCCGTAGTACAACGTAGGCGTAGACAGTCTCCAGAAAAAACGGAGGCTGCTGAGAAAGCTGTAAAAGACCTCCTAGAGGCAAATTTTATTTATGAAGCCCGGTATTCCACCTGGCTGTCAAATGTTGTACTCGTTAAAAAGAATAATGGAAAATGGAGGATGTGCGTTGATTATACCAATCTCAACCGGGCTTGCCCGAAAGATGCTTTTCCTTTGCCTAACATAGACATGCTGGTCGACAACTCGGCCGGCTACAAAACGTTGTCGTTCATGGACGCCTACTCGGGCTATAACCAAATCCCGATGGCCCTGGGCGACAAACACTGCACGACATTCATGACCAACTCGGGCAACTATTACTACAACGTAATGCCCTTCGGACTGAAAAATGTCGGGGCAACTTACCAGCGCATGATGAACAAAGTTTTCCACAAACAGATCGGCGACATGCTCGAGGTGTATATGGACGACATGATTGTCAAGTCCCGAGCAGACACCGACCATGCAGCACACCTCAAGACGGTCTTTGCCCAAGCAAGACAATGT